ATATATATAACTAATACTAACGTATATATATATATATATAAATATGTAAATATGTAAAAATCTATATTCTATCTATATCTATATCCATATCTCCATCTACATCATTTCTATATCAATATGAATACAAATATGAATATATATATATATAATTTTATATATATATTTATTTATATATACCATTTGACAATTTGTATACATCCATACCCTCCTAAGAGTATGTACAGTACATAGCCTCCCACAAAGAGATATAGATGTTAGGAGTCTAGGGCTCTTTACGTGATGTGTGAATATGATTCTATTTCATAGCAACCTGTCCAAATATGTGGCATGTCTGAAATTATGTATGTAAAAAACAAAGGACACCCCGCTAATTGTGACCAATCACCGTTCGTGTAGACTCGATTTTGAATACACACCTGACAGGCTGACACTGACAGTCTGAACTCTGACACCACCGCACAAAAAACCACGTGTTGTGGTTGTATTTTGTTAGAAAAAAAATCAATAATGGAGCAGACTAGAAACTGATATTTTTTTAAAGTGATGTTAAAATACATAGACACCTGGCAGAATCGCTGCGCACGGTTATTATTGATATATAGATACATATCTTACTTAGCTTTGACCAGTACGACTCAGATAGAACTTTGTTAGTATGGCAGAAATTAAGAAACGAAGCGCCGAACAGGCCATTCAGATGGCATCCGAGGATGCTGTGGAGAAAAAGTCAAAGCGATCTAAGCAAGACAAAGTTAAAGATAAGGATTTTAAGAAGGATAAGAAGGACAAGAAGTCTAGGAAGAAAGATAAAAAGAAAGATAAATCAGAAGTAACTGAAATTGAGTTGAATGTGAATGTGGGTGAGAATACCACAGAAGCAGGTGTTGATGCTATGGAGCAGGTCACTCAGGTATCAGTTTCAGATTCGCTTCAAAGCAACGAGAAATTAGATGAAGTTGAGGAGGAAGCATTAAGACAGTGGGAGGCGCAACAGATGGCCGAGGAAGTGCAAGAGAATGCGACAGAAGTGGTTAAGGCTACGGACAAGGGGGGTAAGAATAAAAAGGGTACGAATGCGAAGAAAGAGAAGGGAGAGAAGAAGTTCAAGGGGGTGACTTGCCCGTTCAGGAACTGTACGGAGGTGTTCAAAGCAATGAAACCGCACGGTATATACACGTGTACGACAAACGAGGACAAGAAGGTGTATGCGTGCATGGTGAAATCGTGCCCCAAAACGTTTATCAATTCTAAGCGACTAAGGGTGCACTTCAGGACACATAAGGAGAAGGAGCGTGTACTATTGGACTGTCAATGTTATGGATGTGTGGGAAGAACCGGTGCCAATGCGATTAAAACTACCACCATCGATACCACACCATTGGAGGTAAACAACACGTCAGTTAAGAAACTGGGGGAGGATGTCACATGCACAGGAACAGGAAAGGTGGCTCTGAAATGCCCGTATAAGGGCTGTGAAGAAGTATTTACTACACTCAAACCCCACGGAGTGTACAAGTGCACCGCCGACAAGAAGGAGTCCTATAACTGCATTGTGCACGCGTGTGGTGATTTGTTTGTGAATACGAAGCAGCTCAAGCAACACGTTGCTAAGCACACGTACAAGGATAAACTCGACTGCAAATGCCATCTGTGTCTCGTACGATCGGCGCTCAAAGAGGCCGATAGCGCTGCCAGGAAACCCGAGGAGGAGACCGCCCAATCCGATACAGTTACATCCAAAAACAATGCGAAGAAGGAGCCGGTTAAAACAGATCTGACTATTAAATCAGACGATACGACCACATTGTCCGACGCCGGGGCTGAGGGTGTCAAGGTGGAGTGTCCTCATACTGGTTGTGAGGAAACCTTTGCACTCGAATCGCATCGCAAGTACCGCTGCAAGACTACCGCCAAACATCCTGTGGTGAGAGTGTGCTTTGTTGCGGCGTGTGGCAAGGCATTCACAGATAATCTGCAGATGAAGGAACATGTTGCGTTAGACCATAACAAAAATGGCAAGGTGGAGGACTTGATTTGTGATTGCTGTAGCTGTGAGAAGCTGTATGCTGATTTTAGACTGAGGTAAGGTATTCTAGTTGGAAGAAAAAAATGTTCTCTTAAACGGTGCGAATACGAATACAAATGATAAAATAAAATGTGTATAACATACTCTCGCTTTTTGGCAAGCAATTTGAGGTGCCATGTATGCATATAACTATATGTATATATTTATACATCTATCTATTCATATATATATATTTATATATCATCCATACATACATATATGTATATATATATATGATAGTATGTATGTATGTATATATATATATGTTAGTATGTATGTATGTATATATACGGGGAGGTGGAGTACGTATGTCTGTGTGTGTAAAGATGTTTGTATTGAATGTATATATGCATGTATTCATGTACGTATTATATTCGTATGTATGTATATGTGTGTGTTTATATTTATATATATATATATGTGTGTGTTTGTGTATGAATGTACATTTACATATGTATATATGTATGTCCATGTATATATAAGTGCATATTTGTGCATGCATGTATATGTTTATATAGATGCTGTATATATATTATTCTTGTTATTATTTTTATTATTATTGTTCATAAATTATAGTATCTATATATATATATATATATATATATAATAAATTATAATAT